ACGCCAACTTGTCAGGCGACTTGCCAACCCTCAGTGAAAATAAATTCCACACAAAATACCCAAAATGTCTTTTCAGAGAAAATTAATTCAAGTGAACATAAATTATTTCACATTATATGTATAGAAAGAGTATGTAACTTTTATCACCATCAATATGGACACCGCCGACTTGCGGACACAGATGGACAGTCACAAACACAGAACCAAAACACAAGTCGCAGTTTTGGACTACATTTTGTATGTCCGACAGGGAATAACAACAAGTTGTATACATACTTTGATTTCACTCCAAACATCTTCATCCAACGTTGTACTCGATATAGCATGCTGCATTGGAATGATAAAACAATGACCATCTGTCAATGACTGCTTTACTGGTAAACACATATACACCTGTAAACATTAAGAAAATGATTAACGGTTGATTGGTGATGCACTGCCATTATTGGAGATGCACTTCTATTATTAATGGTGCACTTCCATTATTGGAGATGCACTTCTATTATTGGTGATGCACTTCCATTATTGGAGATGCACTTCTATTATTGGTGATGCACTTCTATTATTGGTGATGCACTTCTATTATTGGAGATGCACTTCTATTATTGGTGATGCACTTCCATTATTGGAGATGCACTTCTATTATTGGTGATGCACTTCCATTATTGGAGATGCACTTCTATTATTGGTGATGCACTTCTATTATTGGTGATGCACTTCTATTATTGGAGATGCACTTCTATTATTGGAGATGCACTTCTATTATTGGAGATGCACTGCCATTATTGGAGATGCACTGCCATTAATGGTGATGCACTTCCATTATTGGTGATGCACTTCCATTATTGGTGATGCACTGCCATTATTGGTGATGCACTGCCATTATTGGTGATGCACTGCCATTATTGGAGATGCACTGCCATTATTGGAGATGCACTTCTATTATTGGTGATGCACTGCCATTATTGGTGATGCACTTCTATTATTAGTGATGTACTTCTATTATTGGTGGTACACTGCTATTATCGGTATTGGTGATGCATGTGTGATATAGTAACAACAGTGTATTAAAGATGGCACATGTTTACCTTCATCCCTATGGCAACTATGAGATGCTTTGGCATGTCTTTGTTACCAAAACAGTATATACAGCTGTCAATTTGCTTGGCTTGTCGTCTGTGTTCAGCAATGGCCTTAGCCCTAGCCTTCTCTTCTGTCTCAGCTTTAGACATTTCTTTAGAAGCCCTTGATACAAACATATCATCCAGTGTGTATTCGTCTTGGTTTGTTTTCTCCAAGGACTGAAAGATAAAATATATGAAATTGTTTTGAATGTTCTTTTCAGTAAAACACACAAAATTATTGTGTTCAAAAAAAAAAAAAAATATGTTCCACGTAATAACTTGCTCTGCAGATTCACTGTCTGTGAATTTTTTTGGAAAGTTTCTTTTTCCCCTTTTTTTTTAAATCTGCAGTTGGTGGCACTTGTATGAAATATGTGCTCGATTCTCTCACCTTATTTATAATTCTAGCTATTTTTTAAGATTCTTCTCTGAGCACATTCAGCATACAGAATTTAGAAGCACTTGAGTTTATTGTACGTTTCGTAAAAAACACATTCTGTACTTTGATGCATTTCCTCTCCTTCTGAATGTTTGTATATTGCCCCCGGGGAATGGAGGCTGAGTGTGGCCTTATCAAAAAATGCAGTATTGCACAGTAATTGTACCTGACTATGAAGTGGTCATGGGGGAACTAAGTTCCTATCATCTGAGTCTTTAAAGTGCCACTGTCATTGCACAGCACACATTCAAATTTTGTCGAAACAAACAATGTATTTACACATGTTTCATATGTCACCCACATTGAACAGGAGTCATGATGACTGTGACTCGTGTTAAATTTAAGAGATTAACCATTAGTTACTAAGTATATATATTGGGTAATTTATAATGGTTATTCATCATATTTGCATGAAACACTATACTTACTCGGCCAGCCAATCTCGCAAACATTGCATTATGATCTTCAGACGTGCTCATCTTTTCCCGTTCCACCATTTTCTTCAGATCGTACCTGTCATCGTCAGCAAAGTAACGTTCCCGTTTCCCACCGCTGTCATGGGTGGCAACCTATAATGAATATTAGGAAAAGTCACGCTTATCGTCTAGAATGACAACAGAAAGTACTAAACTGTGGGAGGGTCGTCACCTGCGGACATGCAGGAATTGAGTCCCAAGTGCTGATGACAATATATGTTAAAAATCCAAAGGCTCATGGGTAGACGCTTATTTGTAAACAATATCACGCTATGGCCATCTGACGCATGCGCAGGTGACAACTCCCTCGCTTTAAGATAACCGCTTGAATATTCATCCCAGACTCATTTGTATTTATTTTATATCAATAATAATTAAAAAAAAAAATTAGATAGGGCACTCCTATGTGCTTCTAGAGACATGAAATAAATATAGGTAATATATCTTTGAAATTAACTTTGCCATTTGGATGCACAATGTGAAAGCAATTTGATCCAAAAAAAGTAGATAATACGAACAGAAAACTCTAGAAATACTATAACAAAAGCAATTGCATAGCAGTGCAAGATCTGAAAATTGTACTTAGTGACCAAAAGTATTTTTGACATACAAACTGGCCACCAGTCAGTCAATTTCAAACTAATTCTGAAAAATTATGAATGTGATATTAAGCCAACAGGTGTTATCAATATTCCAAGTTTCAGTTGGTTAGCACAAGAGACTGTGTAAATGTAGAGTGTTAGGCAATTTATAGAATAAATATGGCCACTAATCGGGAGTATACATATGTATACCATTACGTATCATATATTACTAAAAAATCAATCCATGAGTCTCTGGAAAAATTTGATGGAGTGATGAACAAAATAGAGAAATAGAGTATGGTAAACAAGACGTTCCCTTCTAAGTTTCCTGCTATTTGCTTCAATGTCAGACTGTTACCTTTTTTCTTCTCCTTTTTTTGCCTTGCCTGTGTTCTCCCTCTGTGGTTTGTTCTAAAGGCCAACTCTGTCCACTTTGATCAGTTCTTGTTAGTATAACTGTATTATCATCCTCATCTTCAGAATTCTCTTCACTTTTTACTTTTCTAGATTTCTGTTCTTGTATCCTCTGAGTTTGTGTCGCCTTTGCATTCCTGGCAGCTTCCAATTTAGCTTTTAGTTTGCAAGCTGTATCCTGTCAAATGGAACGGTACATGAAATAATTAAAAAACACAAATTTGCAATGTACGTCAACCAGGCTTCACGAGTCCAAATTACTTCTGTACTAACTGGAAGAAACATGCTAAAACTGCATCTTTCATTCTGAATTCCAAATATGGAAAACAAAGTTCACATCAAGAAAGTTCCAATAATTTTTACCATTTTGCTCAGTTCTGGGCATCATACAAATAACGATAAGATCGGGCGGATGTATAACAAGCCAAGCATGGCCACTGGTTGGGCATATTGAATTATATCGTCAAATCAATACATCTGTATGTGTATGACATGATGTATAATGAACACCGGTGACATGATACCAAGATCCCGTTTCAATCTCGCTCTCGCATAAGCATTCCAACTCAGAAAAATGCGAATGCGCATGCCCGAGGTAACTAGGATACTAGGAATGTCCAGGTGGACCAAAATAGCTGCTCACGATATGACGGATTACGATAACTTTATTTTCTGTACATTTTCGATGTATTAATTTTTTTCACTATGAATGTGGTAATACATGTTTTATTGATTATTACAAACCGCCTATTTCATGTTTGAAGGTCGTAGCATCAGTCTCGCTATCTACGAGATGAGACTTGAATGGGATCTTGACATGATGTCACCATACAGTACTATGCACGTTGCAAACCCCAAGTAATGTACCTCTGACACCGTACATAAAATTTGAATATAATCAGTCAAAGCATCTAAGAGGTATGGCACTAGAAATGCATTCATTAAAACAAAATGGCTGTCAATCAGCCATTTTGAATCCGATCTGAAAAACAAAATTATGTGCATCAAAGACCAACAATATCTAATGTATGTACCAAGTTTGAAGGAAATCCATCCATAAACGACCAAGATCCAGTTTTGGAATGCCAGAAATGCTTGATTTTTGACGACTTTTTAGCACAAAAAATAGCCAACATTCAGCCATTTTGAATGTCATAATGTCCAATGTATGTACCAAGTTTAAACCATATCCATTTATAAACAGCAAAGAAATGCTTGATTTTAATGATTTTTCAGTGCAAAAATGGCCATCTTGAAACAAATTGATGTGCACATGTATAATATGATGTATGTGTGGAGTTTGAATGTAATTGGTCCAGGCAGGTCTAAGTTTGGACACATGGACGCACAGACACACAGAGGTCAATCCATAAGTCCTTGTTATCAAACTACACAGGAACGGGGACTAGAAATAATGTTATTACGAATTAATCACCAAGTATGCAACACACATTGCGCAGTCACATCAAGCTCTGCTAAGGGTCAGTTGATACTCTCACTGTACTGTCTTTGTGAATACGTTGCAGTATCCTCCTAATAGCAATAGCCCCATCTAATAAGTAGATAATTGTGCACTTTGTCATATGTTTAAAATTATAGACTGTACTGTGGGTATAAACATGAAAATCACATCGACCTTGCAGTTTACAATCTGTGCAAAGACAAAGTGGCAAATGTGTGTTTATGGGAATAACACTTCAAGGGAAGGCCTGAACAAATGGTCACATGACAAAGACTATAATGTTACATTAACATATTGAATTGTAAGTACAAAGCTTAACACTACTGAATAGGTAAATAATTCCCAGATAAATAAACATAAATACAAAACTAAATCAGAGCACTCACCTCATCTCCCATGATCTCTGCTCTGACAATTTTAGCGCCAAGTTCGTTCATCTCCTTTTCAGTCAATATCTGGACAGGCGAGGGCACCCTTATTTCTTCCTCAGACTCTGACAGTGAACTGTTACTCGACTCGCCATCACTGGATTCACTACTGTGCTCACTCGGAGGACTACGACTTTTTTCACTAGCTTTATTTTCTGATGTATCAGTTGGTTTTATAAATGCTTTCTTTCTCCATCCTGGAGTTCCATCTCGGTTCCTGTTACTGTGGGAAACAGACGAAGTAGAATCCAGTTTCTCATCAGAAGGTTTCTTGAATCCCTTGTTCTTCCATCTGGGCACATCACTATCATTTCTGTAACTGTCTCTGCTTGCCAGACTCTTACTGTGATCACATGGCTCATCGAATGGCCGCTTGAATTTCCTATCACCCAGGGAGCTTAGGAGTCCACTTTTTCGAGGAGCATCATCACTTATTGGGTTGTTTGTTCTACTAGTACTTCTACTATCTCTACCAGTTCTACTCTCACTGCGACTCTCTCTTGTGTATTCATGTCTACCACTGTAGTTGTCATGGCATCTTTCCTTGTCTGTGTGTTTATCTCTATACATATTTTGACCCCTCTCTCGCTGTCTCCTTTCATCATCTCTGTTTCTCCCTCTTAGTTTATCGCTGTCTCTCTCTCTTTGTTTATCGCTGTCTCTGTCTCTCTCTCGTTGTTTATCACTGTCTCTGTATCTATCCCTTTCTCTATTTCTCTCCCAATCCCTACCCTTGTATCTGTCATTTGACTTATCTCGCTGGTGTTGCTCAGCTGCATTCATCATATCCTGAAATCTCTCCATAGACTAATAAGCGAAATGGGAAGGGATATATTAAAGTCACATGACAGATACATAATGACTTGAACACCCACTAAAGATAAGATACTAGACAGAGTTAATACACAACCAATTGAGTTTCTGGTTCTATGCACATGAAAAGAGCCATAGTAAAAACCAAAGTAGCTGATGGGATATCACTTAGTTATTTTTAGACCTTCAGAAGCTCCCTCCCACAACAACATTTGACAACATGGCACTTTGGGCCACGCCATGTTTAACAACTACCAGTAAGACCAACTCTCTTCGGAGACACATCAAACAGCCAAGACTTTCGTTTGTTTGGAAACCAACATCTTTTGAAATGTGTGAAAAGATGAGGAAAGAAAAGATGAGTTTTTTTTTTTTCTTGGCTTGGATTATTCAGTTTTTATTCTGTTACCCCTGAGTATGGGCTTCATAAAATACAGACATTATGAATGATAAAAATGGCGTTCCTTACCCCATATCTCTCAGCCATAACTTCTTCCACTTGCACACCTCTGTCCTCAGCTTGTTCAACTGCTCTCTGGTAGCATTTTTTAAGCCATGACAGTCCACCATCTCCGATTCCAAGTGATGAAAGTACAGGTTTCGGCTTCTGTGGGTTTTCCTCTGGCAGGCCTGTGCCACCATCTTTCCAATAGGGATTCAGTTCATTCTTACTCTGCCCTGGCTGAAAGCAAAGAAAATTGAACAACTGACATTGAGTCAGCTACCCTACGGTAATTTATGTTTTGTATGCATTCAAAACACTCTGCGACCAATAATGTGAAGGTAGCTTGACCTCAATACTTTGATAAACAACTGGAATGCAGCATCTCAGCTGCTAGCAATTATAAATTTGAATTTAAAACATTAAAGTGACACTGTCAGTAACTGTGCCTAACTGCTCAGGCTGATATGAATCTCTACAAAAACAAATTGCATGATGTGCATGTACTGACAAGTTTAATAGTAAATACATAAGCTACATCATGCTTAATATAGCAAATTAGGTGTCGGGTCATAGTTCAAAGCTTTTTTGGACAATACAGTCTTAGAGTTTACAATTGCAAGCAATGCTTTTAATTTTCATGCCGTATTGCATTTGAGCAAACGTTCTATAGATAGTAGTGTGCATTACGCATGTCAATACAAACCCTAAAACAGAACAGAAGTACAATAATAGAACCATGGACAAATTTTTGCTGGTATAATCCTCTGGGGTCCTTATGATATGGGGTGTTGGTGATTGGCATAAATTATTAAATCGTATACATTTCTAGCAGTATAAATTAAGGTGTTTACAGTATTACACACTCTCTTTAATATATTCCTGTTAGACAGAACCAGTCAGGTGAAATACTGTAAAACATGTCTTTTTCGCGAGCATGTCTTTTTAGAAAATTTAGCGAGAGAACTAATTCGCTAATTTAAGATGTCGCTAATGACTTCATTATAAATCAAAATAGCGGCCAAACAACGACTTTTTCTCCACGCACACACTTTTTAAACACAGAAAACATAATAATCTGGAGTGCTACCTTATTACACTTGATAGTTTTTCTTTGTTTTTATGGAGATGATAACTGCACTTTTGTTTTGGCAGGCAACAAACATATATTGTGAAATCAACAAAGACAAGAAAGATTCGCTAAATCAACATTTCGCTATTACGTCATTTTACCATAATTCGCTAAAATAGTATGTCGCTTTTTCAACATGTTTTACAGTATACTATGAGAGCCCTGCAAGTCAGAAGTGCTGTGAAAAATGCATCTGAAACAGAAAACAGTGTGCAGATCTGTACAACTTACAGTATCAAGTACTGACATTTCTTCCTCTCTCTCCAATGTCTTTTTGTCTTTTTTCTGTTTCCTTAGGTCGTCGTGTGTAAATGTAGCAAAGGAAAACGGGTCACTTTCCATCCAGTCTTGTCTCTGCAATGAGAAATGACATGGGATCTTTACACAAGTTTGAATAAAGACACGCACGTCAGATATTATCCTTGAATAATAATAGGCTCTAAAGTATTGTATTAGAAATATAATTGTCATTATCTTACTGGTAATTGAGGTCCTTTCACAGTGGTGTGGGACTCTTCTTCTGTAGACACATCTTTGGATTCACATTTCAAATCACTTTTTTCCACCCAGACGTCTTCTCCGGATTCCTGTTTATGAATGTGCAGAGATGAATTCATACTTGTATATATGACTTACTGTAAAATACTTTATTTTAGCTTGAATTAATTTTCGCTGAAAAGACATTTTTGGAGCTTTGTATGGAATTTATTTTCACTGATTTTTGACAAGTTGGATGTAGAATATAGGAAAAAATTACACAAGCTACTAATAGAAGTTATTATAACACTCTTCATTGTCAGTTGCATATATAATTTATAACTGAATTACCGAACAGGATTCATCATCCTTTTTCTTGTCTTTGTGTTTTTTATGTTTCTTATGCTTTTTATGCTTTTTGTGTTTCTTCTTCTTCTCTTTTTCTTCCTGTTAATAAAAAAAACACATTTTTTTTTACATCTCTAGAGAAAGACAGAAATATTAAAAAATGAAAACAGAAAAGAGTAACTGTTTTTTTTAAAGATGCACTAAATATAAATATACTGTAAAGGGGTTAATTATTCACTGGGTTTTAATTTAGCTTATTTCGCTGACTGGAAAATGCGCTAAATTAAAACCCAGTGAATATGTAAAATTTAGCATAGAACACATTATCTAAATGACAAAACCGTGAAATTAAAACCCACTGAATATGCCTGAAATGGCAAATCAGCGAAATTTAAACCCAGTGAAAATAAGTCATTTTACAGTATTTTATTCAAAGACTAGAGCTTATTGCAATGAGATGAGAGCCCATTTATAGGCTCGGAATTGAAGTAAGTTCTAATTACAAAAACTTGCACTGGCAATAATCATTGCGTGAGATTACCTCTGCTGTTATTCTTTGATTCACTGACGGCAGCATCCAGACATCATCACCTCTTTGTCGCGCTTCTTTTTTCTTCTCTTTCCTATCATGTCGTTCTTTTGCCTACAAATCATTAAATACAGTAATATTATTACTCCAGTGAAATCAACCAATCAGAATGAGGAATACAAAAATACTCAGCATGATTCAGCACCAAACAGCAAGTAACAATAGCTAGAACATTTTGCTGCATGATTGATGAGCTGCACCATTATGCAAATACATTTATTTACATATTTTGTTCTTTAACATCAACATTCCAAAGTGGATAATTGCTTGCAATAAAGATATTATTATTTTTTACAAAACTCATATTGTTTGATAGAAAAGTGTTGTCATCCAATAAGCTGCAGTTTACTTGATGAAGACAGATGCATTAACAAGGACCATTCAATGGTAGCTACCAACTTGCGTACTACTGTGACTCCATCACAGGCACCCGACGAGTCACTTGTAAGTTGGGGACTGGAGAAACTTGGTTACAGTTCTATGTCACCCATACATACAAATGTATCACCAGTGAGTCAAACATTAGTTGTGTTCACGTTACACGAAGTATGGGCTAAGATTTAAGCTGATTTAGGCTTATCTAGCATATTTGCGTTTCGGCTAGACCCAATTGCGTCCACGCACAGGGAGGGCCAGTCGTTAGCACGGGCTAAGGGGTGCCATTAGTCGTGACCTTTGGTAAGCCGCTATTTACGAACGAAAAATGAATGACATGCGCGAGGTTCTATTTCTGCTGCTGGCATGTTTTGTTCTAATTTTGAAGCGACGTGCACAGGAACGTGAAAGAAGACGGACCAACTTATTTGGATGCACAGAAACAGTATACAACGAGTGTAACAGAATACAGAATTGTATTAATGCATGTCGTAGACAGCGAACCAAATTTATTTTGTCTACAATTGGAGCTGTTGTATGCTCTACTACAGCGACCCGATTAGTGTGGAATATGGGCATGTTGTGTGGCATATAGTTTTTTTTTTTTTTTTGTAAACGTATGTCACTGACCACTTCAAACTTTGGCGATTACAACTGGTCGAGTCTGTCAATTTCATGTGGTTGAGTTAGAATCTGGCCGAGATCGACTGTATTCCATTTGGAAACATCATTATCGCATGGTCGAAAGCAGCAACACTTTTACTGTATAAAACTATGTAGTTGATACCTATAAAATTGGCAACAGAATCGCGAATTACGGCGACCCATCGACGGTAGAACTTCTTGACGGCATAGAAGTTGTACATGTAATTACAATCTTTACTGACACACAACCTACGAGACAATATCCAAGGTATAAATGCGCTTTCGCTATGTTTTGGGTTAGGATAGTTTCTGAGCTTCTGATATGCAATGCCCGGGACCTATCCGGGTCCAAAACAAAGCGGAACCACGGCTACCTGAACGAAGTAAATGCCGTGAACGAATACAACCGAACTCAACGGTCACAACGGTCACTGGCCGTGATCGGTCACTGGCCGAGTAGAAATCTGGCCGAGTTCGGTGGTCACCCCGTGAACACATTGACTGACGAGCCGAGCCAATGTTTACGACATGTAAAGCACAGGGCATTCTATTGCGACATTTAGACAGCTTTTTAAAATTTGAATGTATCAACCACTCCCAATATCGATAAGATGTTCTATACTCGCACTTACTTTCTGCAAAACGATTTCTCTTGCTTCCCTTTTCTGCTTCCGCTCTTTGGATTTCACCCACGAACTTTCGAAAGCTATGGGAGCAGCCATCTTTGTTTTTGACACATCGCATGAGAACCGTACATGCGCATATCATAAAAACTAATGGTTTTGCGACAGTGAGTTGCTATTTGCGACTGGTCGTTAAAGGGTAATAGCAATCCATGTTGAGAAATAACTAAGACAGAAAATCAGCATATACGTCATCAACATGTTTAAAAAGTAAGTATAGTTGTCTTATTGGTTATGATAACATCCTGAACATCACCAAAAAATAGTCAATACATAACGCTACATAGAGACTGTATTAGACACAGGACACAGTCTGACAATGTGACATGCTTATGATATTGTGATACTTTCTAAAACTAAACAGGGATTACAGACATGTCTTGATAGTTTGGCATTGTATGCTAAAACGTGGAAGCTCTCTGTCAACACTGACAAAACCAAAATTTTAATTTTCAATAAATCAAACAGACGTTTGAATAATGATACATTTTTTCTTGGAGGTATCGAACTTGATACAGTTAAATCTTATAACTATCTGGGACTAGTCATTAGTGCCAATGGTAAATTTAAGGATGGCCTAAAAAACCTTAAACGTAAGGCTCAAAAAGCTCTGTTTTCAATGAAAGCAAAGCTTGGCTCAATACAAAACATAAGTATAAAAGTTTCAATTTCCCTTTTTGACAAACTCATCAGACCTATCCTCATTTATGGTTGTGATGTTTGGGGTGATGAGTTCTCCACTAAATCACCTATTGAAGACGTTCAATTAAGTTATTGTCGGTATCTACTGGGGGTGTCACAACACACACCAATTATGGCCATGTATAGCGAGTTAGGCAGATACCCCCTAGACGTATTTATAAAAAAACAAATAATTAAATATTACAGTCGGGCCATGAATTCTAATAATGCGTTACTCAAGGAAGCTTTTGTGGTTAACCAAAGCATTAAAAGTAAATGGTATCTAGAAGTGACATCATTATTAAACAATATCCAACTATATCATTCAGTTAACAACGGTGATAAA